AGCAGATGAATGTACAAAAAATAGGTGCACAAAACGCTGAGAACTTTCCGGATGACCTAGTATATTACTGCCCTGGTTCTACAAAAATACTTTTTCTCAGTGTTACAACTATTTGTTGAACCACGCGCGTCATATCTGGATGCCTGCGACTGCGAGACGTTTTTTGAAGTGTACAGTAAACATTGCGTAATACAATCAGCCTAACCTTTCAACACCTAGGGCTTTTTCAAATCCATCGGGTACGAAGGGATCATAGAATGCGATGTTCATTCCAAAAGAACGAGCCCGTAAAGCGACGGCTGTTCCGACACGTCCCATACCGATGATACCAAGTACGTCACCACGCATACGTTTACTTCCTCCAGCTACTTCTCGCACGTGTTCCGCTCCAACCACCTGAAATTTAAGTAATGAGTTCATCAAACCTGATTTGACCACAGAACACTTCCACTACTGCATCATAACTGAACATTCCACATTTTGATGGCTGTGTTACAAAAATTTTTGGCCACTATTGAACTATTCCTACCCCAAAAACTCAAAAAAAATTTTCTCGGCTGAACGTCTGCATATAGCTAGGTAATTCGAATGCGCTGATCGCGAATGTATTAACATCCGTTTCAAGCGCTGGCGACATTTGGCGCCATTATGCGCCCATTTGGCGCCCACCACTTTTTTCACCAAAGATGATGAAACTTGCATATGGGGGTTAATCGACATCCTGATCACAAATATCACTTTGGTTTCAGACGCTGGCGCCATTCGGCGCCAACATGCGCCAGTATGGCGCCAAATTGGCGCGTAATGGCGTGCTGCTCTTATTAGCGAAAAATGGCGCCAACGCCAAAAATGAATGTCGAATTCGTAAACAGGTTTCATCGACTTTGGTGAAAAAAGTGGTGGGTGCCAAATTGGCGCATAATGGCGCCAGATGACGCCAGCGCTTGAAACAAATGTGATATTCGTGATCAGGGCATCGTATTTACACCCGTAGGCGCCCCCGAAGTTTAAGCAAAAAAAAATTTTTCAGTTATTGGGGTAGGAATAGTTCAATAGTGCCAAATTTTTAAGAGGAATCAGGACGAGAATTTGTTTAACAGTCGTTCATTTGTTTGACTGAGGGGGAGAGGGGGGAGGGACAATACATCCACGTTAGACTGCGTTCGTACTTGCGACACTCTATCATCAGGGCACATCGTGCATTTAGGAAGTTTCAATGGGGTCGCACCTGGTGGAGGGAAGGGGGGTCACACTTCGTCTGCGGAAGAGATTGTTTCCAACTGGTACATTCCCCTCGCTTGCGCAGCTCTATACATGCCCCTCCCCCGCTTGTAAATGGCGGGCGCAGATACTGTTTCTCGATTGGAGGTGTCTCCTGCATCCCGCGACACCGCACGCTCGACGGCAAAATTTTGGACAATTTAGTTAGATGGCAGGTAGGATGTGATAAGGGTCGTATTCGGGAACGTAAGGACGTGCACTATTTATAATAGAGGAATACGAGTGGATCGATTTTTACCTGCCCCTTTAGCGCGCGGTCATTCGACCAGCGAATTCTTCGATTCCCCCAGCTCGTAAAAACGGTGCTCATACTGTACTTTGCCAGTGCACTTCCTGCCAGTGGGGAGAATACTTGCAAAAGCAACCCCTCCCCCGAATTCCTCCTCTAGACCGACCCCCCCCCTTCTCATGCTACTTGCTCTCCCTCACTTTTCACAGCTTCCCACCGCTTTTCTCCTACTTCTTAAGAAAATTTTCTAGTTTGTCCCGAGAGACTGCCGTCTTGTGAGCGGGGGAGGAAGAAGGGGATGCCGTCCATACAACCACTATTTCCGGCTAAATACCGGAAGAAAAGTAGTTGTATAGGACTTTGAGGGCGCCACGCGCAAGGGGAATATAGGATATGTGAAACGGGAAAAACCGGAAAATGTCAACAATCAAAAAAAACTTTCTCGCGCACGAGGAAAATTTTATGACTTTTCTATCCGATGGTAGTCTGCCAACCTTGTTTAGAGCGCACGTGAAACAATAAAAATCAACTAGCAACGAACTTCTTCCTCGTGCTGCACATGACCCCTTCTTCCAGCGACTAAATACGATCCTCGCTGGGGACCCTATGGTGCGGCATACCCTCCACTTAGCAGTACTCGTACCTCCTTTGACGCGCATTCTCCTATTCGCCGATTTTCTTACTCTTTACTGCAGCAAAGTATAGCTGTAGCCTTTGGGCTACGGCGGCGAAATAGGCGCTGCAAGCGGGGTCATCCGCAGAAGACCTAGTTGGCTCACGGCACGTCGCTGGAGAAATTTTTTGCAAAGAACGATCCCCTTTCCAATTCAACCCTCGTAACGACCCCCCCCTCTTCCGACTTTGCTTTCTGCTATGACTCTCCCTTCCCTATTCTACTTCCTGTCTTGCCGACTTTTCCAAGTTGCGTACCACTTTCGAGAAATGTTAAGATCCCCCAAAAATTGTCCACTTTTCTCCGAATTCCCGAAATTTGCGGTTTCGCCGACTATTGTGGGGGTGGTGGTGGCGTGGGGGGGGGGGATACAGCACCGGGGTAAAACGGGAAAAGTTGCGAAAAAAGAACTGGAAAAAAGTCTTCGCATTGCGGCGAAGTTCTCACGAACGCACATACGCCCTCCCCCTATCCCCCAACGATGAGCAGACACGACCACTGCTAAACAGGTCAACTATCAAAAAAGTTTTCTCACTCCGAATACGACCCTCCCCCTCGCTTGGGATTCTTCAACGTAGAACGTGCCCTGAATTGTCTTATACGAAAGGTTTTATTATGTCGCACTAATTAGCGAGGAAGGGTGGGGCCGGGAGGGGGGGGGGAAAGAGGAATTCGCTGAGTTCGCTTGCCATCTTCTCTGGTTGTCGACCAATTGATGCCTCCCAGGTCGTGCGTGGAATATGTTTTTCAACATGGCCTGATCATGCTCCCTCTCCCTCCCCTTCCCCTCTCCCTGGGCCACAAACAAACAAGTCTGAGGTTATTATAAACACTGCTGAGCAGCATTGCGTGTGGCCGGAGAAACAACTAGAATTCTTCTCCATTCGTATTCCAAATTACTCGGGAACCTTGTCGGTTTGGTTTCGCTCCAGCAAATTAAAGTTGGCAAGTCAGCGAACTGGAATCGTGAGACGAATAGGGGGCTAGGATTAGCTAAATCTAATTAGGAGACATTTCGACAGCATCTATTGCCATATCCGCCCATCCTACTGTAGCCAAACAACAAATCTTACATCAACCGCAGGAAGAAGTATCTTGAAAAAGATAAACAGAGTACCAGTTACTTACTTTCTTGCCTTCACTAACGGCTTTTGCAAGCCAATATGTTCGTCTGTAGAGATTCAATATTAGAGACATGGTAAAGTCGGCAATCTCTTCTATACAATCTCCAGGCGTATGACATACGGCAATACCTAAACATTTAGATAAGGTAACCAGTAATCTACAAAACACATTCAATCACTGAATTTCCATAGCGAATTTCATACGATTTGAGGATCAGTCTCCATTTGACACTTTGACACTTTGACAGTAAAGATGTTTGATAGTTAAGATAACTTCTGGGCCAATTCTCGGGAACTTTTCACTTCTTTGAATGGATTAAAGTAATTAATTCAATAAAGCCGTTTCTACGTCACTAGTGCACTAAAACTTGATGGTTCCAAGACCTCATACACGAGCAGTGGTTAGATGATGGCGCACTTACACAGCCCCATTAGCACTCCATATCCATGAGTTGGGAAGGGCGTGGCTTGCTACTTCATTAAGACATGGCTCAGCATACGTTTATCGTGGGTTTTTTCCATTTGAAACAACTCCATCTTCATTATGGACTAACAGAGAGTTCCACAATTACCCACACTCCCTCCCTACTACCCACTCCCGTCCCTACTACCCACACTCTGACGTCATGAAGTGGGCCCTTATTGTTCTGCACGAGGTTTTCAAGCGCTAAAAATGCTTAAAAATCACTATGAATTTATCGACTTGACTGAATCAAAGTGAAACTGTTTCTCCCCAAAAATCATAGAACATAGTCTGTGGGGATGAACCGAGATTGCGAACACCTGCGCCTTAGAGATTTCTTTGAACTTCTACCCAGATTATTTACAAACAGATTAGCGATTCACAAAGTCAGACTAGTTACAGCTTTTAACGAGCTGTCACAAAATGAGCCAAAAAACCTCTTCTCTGAATACTTCGCCGTTCATATTAATCTAAGCCAAGAACAACATGATTTCCGTTGCCATGATCAAAGGGGATAAGGGTCTTAAGCAGATAAGGGGAGAAGTTCGGAGTTCCTCCTACTGGGGGTCCGAAGTGCAATTGCGCTCAATTATAAAAAATGCATGTAACTTGCACATGGTTATCACAGTCTTGTTCGCTGCAGATGACGGGGCGTGTCAGGGCGGCTGGGTTTGGCGCGCTGTTAGCTCATTTTCTACCAGTTGCTGAGGCGAGTCAGCAACTACGATTGGTGGAAGGCGACTCGCAGGAACGTTGTGATACAGTCTCGCCGGATCCGAAAAAAAGAAAAGAAACTGGATGGTGTCGCGCTAAACCGATCCCTCTGACAAGCGCCACTGTCCGCAGCGAACAAGACTGCACCTTGGATTTCAGTCCAGCCTATTTCCAACCCGTGATATTTCCTAGGCACGCCTGTCACCCTTTCACCAATCACGGGATGACAGTAAGCTTCCTTACCTAGCGCTGACCACATCCCCAAAGTTTGTTGTAGCGCCTTCGATGGCAGCGCTAGTACTGCCGTGGAATCCTTGCTACTTAGAAGGTTACTTGTTTGGACCATTTGACCCCGATTTCGGGACCTTAGAGTTAGTTACCTCTTACTGCTGTAAAGGGGAAAGATGCTAACTTCTCCAACGCTCGGTATGCATGTAATCACCATTCGGCTAAACAGTAACTGCAAGAATAAGTAACTGGTATTACTATTATGGCGAATTGTGCCGAATCAGTAGCACTTTCTTGCCAGCTCATCAGAAAGGAATCCAGGCTATTCACTTAGTATCGAAGCTGCGAATCACCGAATACTCATCGACTTGTACGTTTTATCGATTACTACCGTACTACAGTACTAGTCAGACACTGGTCCGTCAGAGGTGGATATTCAACCGTTTACTGACTAAAACGGGAGGAGGTGATGTGGGGGTAAGTGGCGCTACTTATCACGGGAATGTTCTGGTGAGCGAAACTGGATCGGCTGATCTCGAGCAAAAAAGTCTTCATCACTCTGGTACTGGTAATTTAAGGTCAGAATCGCCTGGGAGGATAAACTCCTGGACTACACAGCAAATGGCTCGCAAATCACTGTATAAGACAAACCGTAATCAAATGACTACGATTTTGGATGCGAGAAGAGCGCTTGACGCATCACAAGAGTTTGAGTAACGTTAAAACAAAAGAAAGTCAAATCTGCCTTCTTTCAAACCAAACATGTCAGTACAACCCCCCCCCCCCCTCACCCTCCTTCCCTGAATTTTCTCCGTTGGTACGACACTCTCCTATATCCTGTCTACCATTTTTTTAAGATTTTCCGCACTTCCTACCATTTCGGTTTCCAAGAAGTTTCAGCTTTTTCCTAGAAAAATGCCGTGGGGAGAGGGCTAGAGTGGGGGAGAGGGGTTAGATTTTACGTATATAGAGCATAATCGAGGAAGACAGCGACCGCTTTATTGAGCCAGTTATGACTCCCCTCAACCGAATACGACCCCTTCCTTAACGACCTTCCGTATGGCCTCTGACGACGCTGTACTGCTTTTCCGAAGTGGTCCTGAGATTCTGAGCCTTTGGTTGTGTGCTCAGTCCAGCGTTACAAGGTCGGGACAGTGACAGCCAGTAGGGGGCTGAGGCAACTGTAAGGAGTGGTCGTACTAATTTTTGTCCCACAGGATAGCCTTACCAGGGCGCTCCTCACCCAACAAGGGCACTTTCCACCAGAAGCTTGGACATCTTGTGTTCTTTTGTCACTACGAAAAGTTGCACTCAAAAACCATTTCTTAGGTAACTCTAATTTTGAAGTTAAAAATCGATCGCTGACCATCAGTTCCGCAGGTGGTGAGGTAGATAAGCCTATAGGATTAGAGTCTGTGCTAGTGTGGGGCTCAGGAATATTACTGCCCTTACGACCCTTACTGTTACTCACTGGCGCAGAGCCCTTGTCCTGCAAACCACAAAAGTAACGCATAAGTAAAGGGAATATCGGAATGAATTAACTAATGCATATGATAGCATTGAGAGTGCGATGTCTCCCCCTTCCTAGTCAGTTAACACCAAACGATCCCCACTTAGCGGCCACATGAATCACCATGGCGCGTGAGGTTGCCGACTGCCTGCGTGTCGTTATGCAGCCTGAAGGCCTTTTAATGACGATGGATACTACAGTAATCAAATGAGTTGATATAAAGTAATTTTATTATTGGTTTCGACGGGTACCCAATATGATATGACTTAATCGAACACCACCAAATGAAACTAATAACTATCTACACTAATCAGTCAAAATCTTTCAGTTTTGAGTCATTTGGCTCTTTCGCTCGAGTGCTTGACATCGAGGAGGTTTCCACGTCGATAATGCACTTTCAATGTACTTTTTGTGATTCTATTCCGTTTCAGTTGACATTCGGAAGTAACCCCCCTGGTAGGATTGGCTTGAAATTCTTGTGGATGAGGGAAAGGGGACTCATGAGACGAATCCTAACATCACCCACGTAAACAATACGTCTCACGCAATATGCCTCGGAGACCCTAATCGCATTTGCGTTCATTTCTGGTAAGTGAAAGGACGACGACGACAAGCGGCTCCTGCTGCTGTTGCTGCTGCTTAGTCTCAGCGTTGTGTCGGCAGCGGCCATAGCCTAGGCATGTCCTGGTGGTCGGCTGGCTATGGTCTAGTGAGTCGGCATTTATTACTTAGTCAATAGGGAAGCGCGATCTGCTGCTCGTAATGCATACATACACCACGCAACCGGGGGGCACATATGGCTGGCTGGCTGGCTGGCTTCTCAAATATCGAACATCTTGCAGACAATGAACATCTTCCCAAAAAAATTTATCCACTAGATAACATCGGAAGCGTAACAAGCCTCCCGATCAGTTGGGTTTTTGGAGAGCTTTAAAGTGATGCCAAGGCTTACTTTCAATGAAAAGGATAATAAAAGGATAAAATTTTTGCTCTTACTCAATCCCTTTCTTGGGATGCGGCACGCATTCTACTTCCATTCAGAATCGTAGTGGCTTATTGAATGCGATGTTGGCCTATAGAATGACTTGCGCGGCTAGCCGATGTCTAAGTTCTTGTCCTCCCAAAGGAATCTGCTAGCAATATACCGTCCCCGGAAGGTACAAGGTTGGATTGGCTTGGGCGAGAGCCGATCTGGGATTTGATCCCCAGACTGTGCGTGTGGTAAGCGTGCCATTCGCCACCACAGCACCTCTACCTACTACTTATTGATATGAATATATGAGGGATTTTAAGCGAGGTTCTCATTTTTTCATGGCTTTCTCACTTGAATAACGAAGAGGAGCTGTTTAAGAGTCTCTTTTCGAGAACCTTCCAACTTTTCCGAGTTATACATACGCGAATTGTTTTGGCCCAATTGCATCGGTTGAAATGCAATGATCAAGAAATTTAGTTGAATAGAATGATACTAGAGGATCAGAGTAAGTTCACTAGTTATGTTCACCGTCCCCACATGAGATAAACTGCTTGGGGACTTATGGTGACGTCACCTCTCGGGAGACTTGCACGGGCACTTTTCTTTACTGTCCCAATCATTTGAAATCGCACCAGTTTTTGAGCGACTTCTTTTCTCTGATGACAGTCTTGGCTAAAAGTTCCCCTGGGTTCAGTTTGACCTCCTGAACATCATTAGCACATCCGTTCAGCCCAAAACTCCACGGCGCCGGCGCGAAAATACCCTAAATCACCGAATTTGCTGAAAACTTGTTGTCATAGGAAGTTTGAACTCCTGAACACGAATATCACATTCGCTTGACACAAAACCCCTTGGCGTTAGCACCACAGGTGCCCGCGCCAAAACACCCTAAATCACTAAAGTTGTTAAATGTTGTTCCCATGTGTAGTTTGACTTCCTGAAGACGATTATCACATCCGCTCGACCAGGAACCTCTTGGTCCATGCTCATCCAGGCCTGTTTAGCCGTCTGTAACCCGGACTAAAGTCGGTTTCATGATGAGCGCTGTACTAGGGCAGTTGAGGAGACGGTGGGAAAAGACGTCTCCTTTCTGGCTGCCCGTGATAGAGATCCTTCCCTTTACCAAGGCTTAGCTTTGGATTGAAAGGGATCATTATCTCGGGAAGAAGGGTGCAGACGATCAGAAGCACTGCAAGGTTTCCCCCTCTACTTCCATCCTTGACTTTCTTAACACCTAATACAGATGTGATATTCGTGCTCGGAAGCTGAAACTACCCCCAAGGACAAGTATTCAGCGAATCTTTTGATTCCGGGTATTCTGGCGCCAGCACTTGTGGCGGAGATGCCAGGTTTCGGGCCAAGCGTATGTGGTATTCACATTCAGGGGAGCAATCCACCCCAGAAGCAACCTCTTGGCCAAGTCTGCCCTTGGGGAAAAAAAGTCAGTCAAAGACTGGCCTGATTTCGGAAGACGGCGCAGTAAGGAGTAAATGGTGGCCATTACACAAATTTTGGTAATATCGAACACATTATGTTTTGAACCCGCGGCAAATACATATACACTCACCTAATTCAGTAGCCGCTTTCACATCAATATTATCAAAACCATAGCCGATTTTTACCACCACCCGTAATGCTTTGAATTTTTCCAGATCTTCTTTTTCGAGTTTAATCGAATGATACATGAGCGCAGCGACAGCTTCATTCAACACCTGAATTATTATGATTTGTCATTTGAATCCGTCATAACATCAGTTTCTCGATGTTGGGATGTGTTGGCTTCTCGCCTAGTGGAAAGATGAAACGTCTTCGCAACAGGGTACAGCATCGTGAAGTGTGAAGTGGTGGTGTCAGTACGACCCCCCCCCTCCCTAACACCTACCTGACGATTTCCCACTTTTTCCTACTTCTCCCTAAAAAAATTTGGTGTTGAGCGTGGGGAGGGTTGGAGGGGGGTATCAGGAAAAATCATGCGAAAAGTCAACAACCGGGAAAAATTTTTTCCCAACGCGGCAAATTGACGTCTTTCAAATTGACGTCGTCTTTTTAAGACCCCCTCCACAGCGGAAAAGTCCCCCTCCC